CACAACAGAGGAAATGATAAAGTTACAGTGATAAAACAAATGCCAGCAGCTGTACAGTACCTTCCTAATCAAAATGGCATTTCCTTACAATATTTGTAATAAAGGAGTTGGCAGCACAGGAAAAAGATATATTTTCCTTAACTCCACTCTTTTTTTTTTCTATTTAAGCATTCTTTAATCCAGTATCTTTCTGACTTAAATAAGAAGGTAAGCGGAACGGGAAGCATATGCGTTGAATCTATTTCTATGCAATGTGAAAAGGCCAAAAAAAAAAAAAAAGTTTTAACAAGGAAGGGATGATACATGGAAATACTGACTTAAACACAGAATAATAGACTGCAGAGCAAGAGATATGCCAAAAAATGAGGAAGGTCATTTCTCCTTTGATGGGCAGTCTAAAAACATGAACTATAAACCAATAAATAATACAAAACAAAGAATTTGTAACTAAGCCTTGGCTGCTGAAATCCGCATATAATCTGACCCTTTTGCTTCAGTGAACAACGTCTGACACGGTTTAAAAGTCTGGCCTAATTTCATATTAAGGCATGGTTCATCAGGATTTAGGGATTGGACGTGAAATTGGAACTTCACATAAAATGGTTGCCCAGTGGGTGAATAAGCTATCTAGTGTCCTGTCCTATTCCATTCCATCTCCTTCAGTCTCTTCTATTGTTCTCTTCTATAAGCAAGGCCTCAATTTACAACCATTCATTCAGTGACCGTTTGAAGTTACAGCAGCACTGAAAAAAGTGATTCATGGTCATTTTCACACTTACAACCAGTGGTGGGATTCAAATAAATTAACAACCGGTTCTCTGCCCTAATGACCGGATGGGTGGGCGTGGCCATTGTGGCCATGGTCAGGAGGTGTGACAGGCAGCATTTGGCCTCCTGCACCCCCCTGGGAGCAAAAATGGGCCATGGGGGGGGCACTGCCCTCCCGCACCCCTTTATGGGCCCAGTAGGCCTCCCTGCAGCCTCCTGGGAGCAAAAAACGGGTTGTGGGAGGCCCGTTTTCCATCTCCTCGGGCTCCACACGCCCCCTGCACATACGTGGGATCCAAAACAGGCCACAAGGGGACTCCTGGGAGGGGCGAGGCAAGGCGGGGCCAGCTGGTAAAATTAACATCCGGTTTTCCCGAACCGGCTGAATCCCACTTCTGCTTACAACTGTTGCAGCAGCCCCATGGTCATGTGATCAAAATTCAGATGTTTGGCAACTGGCTCAAAATGACGACAGTTGCCATGTCCCGGGGTCATGTGATCCCCTTTTGCACCTCCTGGCGAGCCAAGACAATGGGGAAGGCAGATTCACTTAACAACCGTATCCCTAACTTAACGACTGTGGCAAGAAAGCTGGTAAAACAGGGGCATAACTCATTCACCACCTGTCTTTGTTTAACAATGGAAATTTTGGGGCTCCATTGCGGTCATACGTTGAGGACGATCTGTGTTCTATTCCTATTCCGCTCCAAATGTATACGAGTTATCGATTTTTGTGTTGGTTAATGCAGGGTTAAAAAACAAGATTCTGCTTTTGGCTACAGCCAGGGAATGTTGTTACTCCCAATCTCGCTCTGTTGGTTTTATGCCAGGTTTTTCTCCTCCTTACTCATCCATGCATTTGTGTGAATGATTGAGCCTAACATATGCCTGGCTTCCTCTACGATGATCATAACGCTATAATCAATCAGGCATTTTTGGAAAGGTAACTATAATGAGAACTGAGAAAGCGACTGGGCTTCCTATCGTTCATAACAAGACAGGCCCTTCCAGGTTATAAAGACCTCCTGGACAGGAGCGGCAAGAAATAGCTAACACAAAGTGTACCCTCTTGAGCAGTAAATATACACTCCACGCACGTAGCTGCATAGCCAATCATGCACACCTATCAACAGAAGGAAACAAGTGGTTATTACAAGCCTGCACACCGTTTTAACAAGAGATCTCAAGGTCCCTAAAGGGGAATTTATACAGGGTGTAGATAAGAAGCTACAGGTGTTTCTCGACTTGCAACAGTTCCATTTAACGACCGTTCCAAGTTACAACAGCACTGAAAAAAAGTAATTTACAATCCTTTTTCACAGTTGCAAGCTTTCCAGCATTGTCCATGGTCATGTGATCAAAATTTGGATGCCTGGCAACTCATACTTAACGACGGTGGCAGTGTCCCGTTGCCCCCTTTTGCGACCTTCTGACGAGCAAAGTCAATGAGGGAACCAGATTCGCTTAATGGCCGTGGAACTAACTTAACAACTGCAGCGATTCGCTTATCAACGGGGACGAGAAAGATTGCAAAGCGGGGCAAAATTCACTAAACAAATGTCTCACTGAACAACAGAAAATTTCGGCCTCAATTGTGTAAGTCAAGGACTGCCCGTACAAGGAATCCTTGAGTTACGACCACAATTCAGTCCAAAAATTTCTGTTGCTAAGTGAGACATTTGTTCGGTGAATTTTGTCCCATTTTATCACCTTTCCTGCCATAGTCGTTAAGTAAAACCAGCCCAGTTGTTAAGATAGTAGCGTGGTTGGTGAGTGAATCTAATTTCCCCATTGACTTTGTCAGGTCGCAAAGGGTGATCACATGATCCCGGGACACTGCAACCATCATAAATATGAGCCAGTTGCCAAACGTTTGAATTTTGATCACATGATCGTCAGGATGTTAAAACGTTCTTAAGTACAAAAAACAACCACAATCCACTTTTTCCAGTGTTTTTTTTTTTCACTGTAATTTCTACTAAACGGAACTGTTGTAAATTGTACCATGCTTATGTTCCTCAAATGGTGTAAGAACCACCTAGAACCGTGATGGCGAACCTATGGCACGGGTGCCACAGGTGGCACACGGAGCCGTATCAGTGGGCACGCGAGCGTTGCCGTAGCTCAGCTCCAGCGCGCATGTGTGCACCAGCCAGCTGATTTTTGGGCCTTTCTGTCCTACCAGAAATTGGGAAATGGGCTGTTTCTGGCCTCTGGAGGGCCTCCGGGAGGGTGGGGAAGGCTGTTTTCGCCCTCCCCGGGCTCCTAGAAAACCTCTGGAGCCTGGGGAGGGTGAAAAACAGGCCTACCGGGCCCCCTGTGCCATCATGTGCTAAAAGTGGGGGGGGCATGCGCAGGGGCACACACATGGGCGACCTCACCGCACTCCCCCCACTTTTGGCACACGACAGCAAAAAGGTTAGCCATCACTGACCTAGAAACAACATGAAATTCAGCCATTCTTGCTTTTTCACGTCACCATGAATTTAACCTTAGATGAATTACCGGGAAACCTTCAAGAATAGGGGAGACATGATAAGGGTCTTCCAAGATTTGAGGGGCTGTCACAGGGAAGAGAACTTTAACCTATCCTCCAAAGCATGAAAGGGCAGGACAAAAAAGCAACAGGTGGAAGCTTGTTAAAAGAGAGCGCCAACCTAGAATTAAGGAGGAATTTCTTGACAATTAGAATAATCAATGGAATGGTTAGGCTCCTGGAATTGCGGGTGATCTATCACTGGAGGGTTTTCAAAAATGGATTGAACGACGTTTGGCCAGGATGGTATAAGGTTTCCTTCCTTTGGCAGGAGGTTGGACTAGGTACCTTCCAGCATCACCATCCAGTGGTGGGATCTTCCCCGTTTAACAACCGGTTCGGTGATTGCGCAATTTGCGAGTCTGCAAAGGTAAGTAAAACAGTGAGGGTGGAGGAATCCGCTGTGTCACACGATTTAGATTAGCTAGAAAGCAAGAAATCTGATGATTCTAGCTAATCTAAATCACGTGTCACAGCTGATCGTTGCCCAGTGATCTTCAGAAATATTGGTTCACTCGAACTGGTAGCATTTTTTTTACTACAGGTTCAGGAGAACCAGTCCGAACCGGTAGCATTTCATCCCTGATCTCCATCAATGGAAGAAGGGAGGCTTATAGAAGGAAAAAAAGAGATCCGACTTCATATCAAGAACTGTAAGAGCAAGTGAAGGTCAACCCAATCCAGCAAGTCTATTCTGCTAGCTCAAGTCATTGAATAATAGTCCACAGAAAGTCCGCAGTTCACAGCACTACTTAGAAGACATGATGTTCAGATTTTGGGAATTGCATCAGGGCTCTAACAGAGGAGGAGGAGGAGAAAGTGACGAGAAAGAAGGAGAAGAAAAGGAGAAGGAGGAAGAGGACGAGGACAAGAAGGAAGAGAAAAGAGAAAGAGAGGAAGAGGAGGAAAAGAAAGAGGAAGAAGAGGCGGAGGAGAGAAAGGGAAAGAGGAGCAAAGGAAGAGGAGGAGGAGAAGAGGAGGAAGAGGAAAAAGAAGAGAGGAGGAGGAAGAGAAAGGAGGAAGAGAGGAAGAGGAGGAAGAGGAGGAAGAAGAAAAGGAGGAGGAAGAGAGGAGGAGGAAGAGAGGAGGAGGAGGAGGAAAAGAAAGAGGAAGAGGAGGCGGAGGAGAGGAAGGGAAAGATGAGCAGAGGAGGAGAAGAGGAGGAAGAGGGAAAGGAAGAGAAAAAAGAAGAGAGGAGGAGGACAAAAGGAGGATGAGAAAGGAGAAGAGGAGAAGGAAGAGGATGAGAAGGAAGAGAAAGGAGGAACAGAGGAAGAGCAGAAAAAAAAGAAGAAAAGGTGGAGGTGAGGAAGGGAAAGAGGAGCAGAGGAAGAGGAGGAAGAGGAAAAGGAGGAGGGGGAGGAGGAGGACTAGAAAGGAGGAGAAGAAAAGGAGAAGGAGGACGTGGAGGAAGAGAAAGGAGGAAGAGAAGGAGGAAAAGGACAAGAAAAAGGAAGAAGAGGTGGAGGAGAGGAAGGGAAAGAGGAGAGAAAGAAGAGGAGGAAGAGGAAAAGGGAAGAGGAAAAAGAAGAGAGGGGGAGGAGGAGGAGGCCTTCTCCTTCATATTCCTTTCTCCCTTAGCAGAGGTTAGATTAGAACATCAGAAGCATTGTATGTACATCATTCAAGAAAACTTGTTTTGTGCAAAGAGGAAGAACCTCCCACAAACCTCATGAAACTTAACATGCACACATACCTCAGCAAGACACTCAACGCTTTGTGGGAAGACTGGGAGACATCTCAGAGTTTAAATTATTCGCCCTTTGTTGCTTTCCAGAATGAAAATCTGACCGTCATCAAAATCTGACGCGCCGTATTCCAATCGTGCTGGGAAAATAATCCATCTCTTATGGACATCACAAATCAAGGAAACCAATGGAGTGTTAGGGAAGGGGGAGAAGAACTGGTCAAAAACCCTGTGCCGCTCCCCTTTTTCCTGGTCAAGGCGTTTTTATCTGCAGCCGACACTTTCTGGAATCTCTGCTCCGCTTGATAAATCCCAGGGACTTGGAGATCCTTGAACGATAGGAACAAGATGCTGAAAATTCCAGAGCCATGGAATTTGCCAGAGATGAGATGGAGACCTTGAGGAAGAAGAAACAAATAAATAGAGACTGTTACATCAAGCAGACATCCAAGAGGAGGGGGGGGGAGGAAGGAAAGGGCTACAGATGTTCCTCGACTTACAACAGTTCATTTAGTGACCGTTTAAAGTAACAACGGCACTGGGGAAAAGTGACTTACGGCCGTTTTTTCCAGTTATGACTTTTGCAGCATCCCCGTAGCCCTGCGATCAAAATTCAGAGGCTTGGCAAGTGACTCATATTTACGACGTCCTCTGGGGTCATGCGACCCGTTTGCGACCTTCTGACAAGCAAAGTCAATGGGGACGCCGGATTCCCTTAACAATTGTGTAGCCTAACAGGCTGCAGTCATTCGCTTAACAACGGTGGCAAGGCAGAGTCGTAAAACGGGGCAAAGCTCACTTAAGAAATGATCTCACTCGACAACAGAACTTTTGGGCTCAATTGTGGCCATAAGTCGAGGACTATGTGTAGTAGTGGCAGAACACTTCTTGGGCATCCCTGTAAAGGATAGAAATATAGGAATCTCAGCTGTGGGCTAAATGGTAGGGGGGAAGGCCATGATACCTGGATGTATTCTGAAGCCCATTAGCCTAAAGACATTGCTTCCAGCCACAGATGAGGCAGGGAGTGGGGCTATTGTAACCTTGCAGAGCACAAGAGGTAAAATAATCCAATTCTGTGTTACTTGCCTACCCCCATAGTCCCAATTTATAAAGCAGAGACCACAGCAATTAAATTCTCTATGCAAATCCCTTTTTCAAGGTTACATTTTTGAATAGGGTGTGTGTGATTAAAATTCCCTTCTCCTCTCTAAAACAAAAAATCATCTTTATTCCTTTTATTTACTTATTTTCTTTACTGTGGAAGGAGCAGGTTCAGGAACATTTTTCATTCTCCAAATGATGCAGAAAATAAAGTTTTCAGTGCAATTGACTTCCTGGTGTAGCTACTGAATACAGAACATCCGGTCAGTGTGTCTCTTAAAAAATTTCATCCACTTTCTCAATTCTAACCTTTGGAAAACACCAAGTTACTATACCAGGGGTGAAATGTAAAATTTGTTACTACCGGTTCTGTGGGCGTGGCTTGGTGAGGGGTAATGTGACTGGGTGGACGTGGCCAACTTTTTTTTTAAAAAACTTTTCAAAGCATTTTTTCTAATGCTTTAAAAAGCTTCTGCCGATCAGGCAACTCAGCTGGGATCGTCAGAGAGGCTTTTTAAAAAGATGCTTTGAAAAGCCTCTGACAATCCCAGCTGAGCCACGCGATTCTCAGAGGCTTTTTTTTTTACTTTTAAAAGCATTTTTTGTCAGAAGAGGTTGTAGAAAAAATGCTTTTAAAAGTTAAAAAAAAAAGCCTCTGATGATAGTGCGGCTCAGCTGGGCATGGTGGGGGCGGGGGAGCAGGGATTTTTGCTACCGGTTCTCCAAACCACCCGCCGCCATCACTACCGGATCGAGTGATCCAGTCCGAACCAGGAGCATTTCACCCCTGTACTATACCTACATATTTTGGGCTCCATGATCACTGCAGATGGGAAATTAAGACGCTTGCTCCTGGGGAGGAAAGCTATGGCAAATCTAGACAGCATTCTAAAAAGCAGAGACTTCATTCTGCCAACAAAAGTGCGTATAGTCAAGGCTATGGTTTTCCCAGTTGCAACATATGGCTGTGAAAGTTGGACCATAAGGAAGGCTAAGTGCCAAAGAATTGAGGCCTTTGAACTATGGTGCTGGAGAAGACTCCTGTGATTCCCTTGGACTGCAAGGCAATCAAACCGGTCAGTCCTAGAGGAGATCAACCCTGACTGCTCTTTAGAAGGCCAGATCCTGAAGATGAAACTCAAATATTTTGGCCACCTAATGAGAAGGAAGGACTCACTGGAGAAGAGCCTCATGCTGGGAAAGACTGAGGGCAAAAGAAGAAGGGGGAGACATAGAATGAGGTGGCTGGATAGAGTCACTGAAGCAGTCGGCGTGAGCTTAAATGGACTCCAGAAGATGGTAGAGGACAGGAAGGCCTGGAGGACACTGTCCATGGGGTTGCGATGGGTCAGACGCGACTTCGCAACTAACAACAACATATTTTGCAATTTATTTTATCCAAATGCCTACTGCACGCGCCGGTGCTATTTGAGAAATTGGAAAATGATTGCGTGGTTTATACATGAATAGGTAAAGGGATTTTTTTTAAATAAATAAATAAATAAATCTGCTGTTAGTACAGAAGTCTACTGAACCCTGCCTGTGTCTCAAGTTTCCCTAAATGGTTCACTAACTCTCCAAGAGGCATTTGCTGACTTGAGCTTGAATTAAAATAAATAAAATGGTTGGCTTGCTTTGAGGAGGGCAAATAGAGAGAAATGTGTTCCACTTTGTTCACCCCCAAACTGCAAAGCCAAAAAGAGATGCAAAATATCAGATACAATGGAATTTACTGTAAAATGCAATGGAAAATAACAGATGGGAACTTATCTGAGAGAGATACAAGCTAGAACTAAGAAATTTCCTGACAGTGAGAACAATGAATCGGAGGGATGGCTTGTCTTCAGAAGTTGTGGGTGCTCCATCAACTGGAGGCTTTTAAGAAGAAACTGGACAGCCGTTTGACATGGAATGAGGCAGTGCCTGAATTTAAAAAAAAATAATAATAATGAAAAACAAACCACTTGTAGGTTTTGCATCAAGATGTCATAAGTCATGTTTTGCTACTATTGCAGAACCTATATTCCAAAGCCTAGTTCTCAGTAGGTAGGAAACGGAGAGGGGGAGAAGAGGGAGGGAGGGGAAGAGAGAGAGAGAGAGGGAGAGGGAGAGAGAGAGAACATTTATTATACTATATTTTTATACAGACACTCTCCACAGGTCTATTTTTCTCGTGCAAGACCTTCAACCATCCTTTTTGGCTCTTCATCAGAAATGCAAAATATCCTGCCAAAAGAAGTATTACTGTCTGACCTACAGAGTTTGTAGAAGTAGCCTCATAAAAGAAGTGTCCCTTTTTTCCTTGATTTTTCTCATTTTCATCTGTATTAAGCTGTGAGAAACGAAGCTCAAAAAGTTTGTTAGTCCTTGTTTGTTTGCCAGAACTCTTGATCCTGAGTTCTGCTTCCTTACATCCTAGTTCACAATACTATTAAATGTATCCTGTTGAGAATTCTTGTCCTGTAAGATCTGGCTTGTATTCTTACTTCTCATGTTTTTTTGTAGTTTCATCTTGCTGGGTTTTTTTTTTTTTAAAAAAATAAGATGCTCCAACTTGAGACTTTTTGCTGCAGGATATTATTAAAACGAAAGAAATACTAAATGAACAAATGGCTTCATATCCGCTTGGAGAGTAATACTAGGAGCCCTCAATTTACACAAGTTTCTTCAGTGATCGTTCAAAGTTATAACAGCAATTTAAAAAGTGACTTATGACCATTTTTCACACTGCAGCATCCTCATGATCATGTGATCAAAATTCAGATGCTTAGCAAGTGACTCATATTTATGACAATTGCAGTGTCCCATAATCATGTGATCCCCTTTTGTTGCCTTCTGACAAGCAAAGTCAACAGGGAAGCCAGATTCTCTTAACAACCGGATTACTCATTTAACAACTGCAGTGATTCACTTAACAACTGTGGTAAGAAAAGCAGTAAAATTGAGAATAACTCAATTAACAACTGTCTCCCAACAGAAACTTGGGAGCATAAATGTGGTGGTAAAATTATAAAGCACTGGCTGGGGAATTCTGGGACTTGAAGCCCATGTAGCTTAAATTTTTCCAAGTTTGAAAAAGAGTGGACTAGATGGCCACAAGACACATTTTTATTCCTAACTTAGATGAAGAGTTGAAAAGATGATCAAACAACACAGATAACCCTGAGCCAGAAGTGAGTGATGCTTTAAAAGAGAAATAAAGGATCCCAAAAATATCTAGGCAGCCCTGAACAGTGGGCCGAAACAAACAGGATGACATTTGGGTGAGGTAGAAGTGAGGCTTGGCAGTACTACATAGGAGAGGGATCTGGGTACCAATGTTTTCTGCAAATGGAACATGAGCCAAGATCGTGATGTAGCTGCCAAGAAGACAAATGCTACCTTGGAAAGCATGAACAAGAGTAGAAGATCCAGAAAACGGGAAGTAATTGTTCTATTTTGCTCTTGTGAGGCCCTGCTTATAAACAGTATCCATTTCTGGACACTGCAATTGAAAAGAACATCGAGAAACTGGAATTAAAACTACCAAGAGGATGAGGATTGGTGAAAGGATCCACTCTATCTATCCATGGTGCTCTCCGTTATGTGTCTCAACCGAAGGGAGCATCCAGAGGCTGCTGGCATGGGACAGCTATAATAAATTCAATGAAACCTCATTATCTTCATAACCAAAAGTTTGGTCTAGAGGTTAAGGCACTAAACTTAGAAAGTTGGGAGTCCATGAGTTCTAATCCTGCCTTAGTCATGAAAGAAGCTAGGTGATTTGGGCAATCGCCAGGAGACTGTGAGTTCTAATCCTGCCTTAGCCATGAAAGCCAGCTGGATGATTTGGGTCAATTAGCCAGAAACTGTGAATTTTAGTCCGTCTTAGGTATGAAAAAGCTGGCTGGGTGATTCTCTCTCAGGCCAACCCACCTCACAAGGTGGTTGTTGTAAGGAAATTAGGAGGGAGGTATATTGGTTCTATGGGCGTGACCAACTTTTTTTTTTTAACTTTTAAAAGCATTTTTTTCTGCCGAAGAGGTTGTAAGAAAAATGCTTTTAAAAGCCTTTGCCGATCCCAGCTGAGCCACGTGATCATCAGAGGCTTTTTTTTTTACTTTTAAAAGCATTTTTTCGGCTGAAGAGGTTGTAGAAAAATTGCTTTTAATTTTTTTTTAAAAAAGTCTCTGATGATCGCACTGCTCAGCTGGGCATTGGGGGGGGGCAGGGATTTTTGCTACCAGTTCTCTGAACCATCCGCTGCCCTGACTACCGGATCGGGTGATCGGGTCTGACCTGGGAGCATTTCAC